CCTATGCAGAGAATCTCATGTTTGTCTTTCTATGCCAAATTAAAAACATTCTCTGCTTCATCACTAAATTCTACATTGGGATTTAACTTGGATTGGGGGTGACCCTTGGGGAGTTAGGCAGATCTCAGATGCCACCAGGCAGGAAGGCAGGTCTCAGGCATGTCAGGGGATGCAGACACTGGTGTGGGCACAGTCAGGCCACAGAGCAGCGCTGTGCTACCACCCTCAGCTGTTCCTCTGAGGACCCCTGGCACAGATGGGGCATGGCTCAGAAGCCCAGTTAGCCACTAGGACAGTGGGAGGCTGCTGTCAGCCTCGCCTGAGCCTCAGCTTGCTGTCTCCAATGTGGAGATGCGGGGAGACCTATCTGGCAGCACAAGGATGCCAGGGAGACTGAGTCCACACTGCCAGCTGACAGGTGTCTCCGAATGCCTCTGAGCCTGCCTGACCTCCACTGGCAGAGCTGACCCTGCACTGGACACCAAGCCCAGCCAAGCTGCCACTTGGAGCCATGGCTTAGGGACCACTATCACCTGGAATTCCTGGGATGCTGCTGGGGCCTGTGTGCTGAGCCTGGGCTGGCCAAAGCAATCAGCACAGCCCTGATTTATTTATCCTGCAGCCACTGAGTCCATCAGGGCACTGGGCACACATCCCACATGTGGAAAAGAGTGGCCACAGATGCAAACCAGGGGACAGAGACAGGGACAGGACGTCCCAGAGGACATAGTCTGAGCAGAGCCATGCAGGGAAGACAGTGTAAGCAAAGCCCACCAGTGACACAGACAGGGAAGCGGGAGGGCCACAGGGCCCAAGAGCCGGGCCGGGGCCCACAGGGACAGAGGGGAATGTCTCCGTGTAGGAATGCATGCAGACTGCACCAGGCATCAGGAGGCTGCTCGGCGCAGCTGCGGCTGGGTCTGTGCCTGGGGCCGGACAAGCAGCCATCATGCTCGGGGAGTTCAGGCCAGGCTGGGCCATGACCAAGCTCAGCCAGAAGCTTGGAGTAGAGGTACGGAGATGGGAGCCAGGGACAATGTCCCCAGGATACACTGGCCAGAGCTGGTGGGGCCTCACAGAGGTCACTGGGGCCCGGCCACACAGGGGACCATGGGCTCCAGTCCCCTCCTCCTGTTTGCTCTGCCACATGCTCCAGCCACTGTGCCCAACACCAGAGCCCTGGGGCCACTGTATCAACAGGAACTCTCAGAACTGTGAGCCATGAGGACCTTTTCCTGCAACAGTCTCCCACTCGGGCACACTGTTTCAGGGACCCAGGGAAGGGAAAGGGTCAGCTCTGTGTGCAGCTGCAGGCTTGGGGCCAAGAGAAAAGCAGTGGAGCCCAAGGTGGGGGGCAGTGCTTACAGGGCAGGCCAGGATGGGCGGGGCCAGGGCGGGGGCCAGGGCCATGGAGCCCAAGGTCACACAGCTGACCTGGAGGCTAGCACTGAGGAGCCAGGATCACTGACAAGCTGGAGCCCTGGAGTCAACGGTGGTGGCTGGGAGGACAGTAGGCATCCCCAGGACAGCACAACCCCAGGAGGACAGGAGCTTGAAGAAGTAACTTGCAGACCTTGGTGGAAGCAAAGCCGGAGTGGAAGATGCAGAGTGCTGTGGGCCATGGAATGAGGAAGCAGGCAGTGCCAGACATGGCTACTGGGTCAGCACAGGGGTCCAAGCACCCGGCCGGAGCTAGAGTCTCCACCCAACACATCGGAGGAAAGCTGCCCACAGCCAACACTACAGCACTGTCGTGCTGATTGAGGCCTTGAAGCCAGGCCATGTGGCCAATGGGTCCCTGTACTCTGTGCCTCCCTCCCCCTCAGGACCCCCTAGTAATGGTGCTGGGGACAGCACCTGTACCCTGGCAAGGACAGGTGTCCCATCCCATGCAGTACACTCTGTCCAGTGGCGACTGGGAGCCCAAGGGAAGGGCTGAGGGCCGGGCAGTCAGAGGTAGGGGACCACAGAAACAAGGGCACAAACAGTGGGGACCAGGCAAGGGCCGCAAAGGCTTGAGGCTCCCACCCAGTGGCCAGAGGCCTCTCTAACACAGGCTCCTGGCAGCCAGGACCCTCCTGTCCCACAGACCAGACACCAGTCTCCCCAGGGACACACTTAGAACCTGACTGCCCCCAGGGTCTCAGTGCCTGTGCCCGACAGCCAGGAACTGACCGAAAGGCTGGGCCAGGGAGATGTCACCTGGCAGACCCACCCTGGGGACAAGCGCTGCTGTCCAAGGTAAATTCCAGAAGAGATGCACCGCAAATCTCTAACTGGAGGCTGATTTCATTTGTAAATTGTCAAACCTCAGAATGCCTCTCGATATAAAAACCCCAAAAACCCAAGCTATCAAATCCGAGCAGCCTGAGCCAGTCTTCCGAGAGGCCAGCTTGCCCACACTGTCACGAAGACAGAGGCAGCGGCACCCGCCAGCTCCTGGCCTCACCTGGCAGCCATCGAGCTCTGCCCGCACCTGGCCTGCGACCCCTGAGCACACTCTGCACACATCCCCATTCGCTGTTCTAACGCGCTGCAGCAGCAGCCCGCTCCAGAAGGTAAAGGGTGGAGTGACTTTGTTTCATTATGTATCATTGTATTTTCAAAAAATGGCATGAACCTGTCTAATTTTATGTATCAGAAGCCTACTTAAAAAAAAAAAAGAAACAGAAATTCTTCTTTTTAAAAAGAGCATGCAACATTTCCAGCCTCATTATTCTTATAACTCCAATAAAAAATTCCAATGCTTAAATGTGCAGACAAATAACTCATTGGATAGAAATTATCATCAGCATCAACGAATCCAAAGACCGTGACTGCCACAGAAGAGCGGCTTAGGCTTGGCAGTGACATCCACGGGTGCTGTGCCGCCGTGGGTACGTGCTGCAACCTCTCTGATTCCTAACATCCTCCTGAGCAAAACATCAGCTCTGAGGACCAAAGTGCTGCCTGGAGGTAACAGGCCACACACTGGTGGTGTGTGGAGCCACTGGGAAGAAACGGTGTCACTCTGCTCCTTCCAAAATGTGACAAATGTAGTCAAAGAGCGTTTATGATTTCAAATAATTACATATGAAAACAGAGATGGGCTGGGTGGGGTTCAGTCCCTGGCCTGCTGTGCTGGCCCCGCCCCGGGGCGCACTGAGACCCAGAATGACACTGGGCGTGGCGGCGCGCACCTGGAAGCCCAGCGCTCGGGAGGCTGAAAAGCCAGAAGGATCACTCCAAGTCCGATCTGTGTAGTGAGACCCTGTCCACCCTGTACTAGATACATTAAAAAGAGAAAACAGAGACAGATAATTTTCCAACATAAAAAAATGAGACTTAAATGAAAGAAAGGTACTTGCAGGGGGCTACGTCGTTCCTCTCTGTAAGCTCTAAGGGAGGAAGGAGGAGGAGACCAGGAGCCCCTCCAAGCACCATGGGGCAGAGGGGCGCTAATCAGTCGTGACTTCCACTCTTTCTATGGGGCCGGATGAGGAGCACCTAAGCCCCAGCCCAAGGGTAAGAGGCAGGGGGCAGCTCTGCCCAGGGCCCCATACATGCTCCTGGTGTGAAGGAGTCTGTGCTGAGCACCCAAGGGCTCAGAACACAGAAGCCAGGAAGAGACGTCGCGTCTCCTACATCTCGTTGAGATAATCACCACCGTGTAACCAACACCCCCACACACGTGCATTCTGAACTCCCTGGAGCTGCACCTTCCCCCCTCAACACACAGGAAGCAAACCCGGTGGTGGGTCTGGGCTGTTTCTGAGCAGAAGAGGAGTGGACCAGGGAAGCAGGACTAAGCCTGAGAATTGGACCGTGACCTGAATTTGAAGAACGCAGCAGCGCATTTTAGGATGAGGAGCAGGAATCTTGCCGGATGGGCCTGATTCGGGCTGGCTGTGTTCAGATTGAGGATGAGGCCCTCGGGTCAGGGAGTATCTGGCTGCCTCTCTGGTGTCACTCAGCTGCTTAGCTGCCCCAGCCACCCACTCAATGAACCTGCTCTTGAATTATGCATTATCTCCCCTCAGGGAGCAGGATCCCTCTGGGCCTGCCTGCTCCTGGCTGCCTTGGAGATCCAAGCCTCGGGGGACCATGAGCTCCATGCCTGCCCCCCAACAGCCAAAACTGAGAAAGTTCCTTTAAAACCAAAGAGCAGAGGTTTGGGCACTGCTCGGCTCGATCCACCCCGTGTCCTTTGTATTGCAAAGTGAGTAAAGTTCCATTTTTCCTTAACAACAGACCACCCCAAGGCCTGATTCTCTACACAGGCTGGACCAGACTTCCTGGGTGGCCGAGAACAGAGCACAAAGCCCTGTGGCTGCGGGACAGTGTTCCAGCCCTGACAGCCGGGTCCCAGCCCCTAGGTCCGCTGCTTCATCGCTTGTGGATCCTAGAGCCCGGCAGCAGAGAGTACTGGGGTCACCACTCCCGCCGTGACTGGCAGAGCCTCCCCTGCCTCCTCACCGCCCGCCCCACCCGCACCTGTCACGGAGCCAGTCACGGAGCTGCCGAGCTCTATTTTAAGACAAACCCTCTTACTCTACAAACGCTGCACAGCACTAGAGGTCACCCAGCCAGGCACCCTGGACTCCGGTTCGGGTCCTGCTCACTGCAAACGGCTTCTGGAGATCCGCGCCCGACACCAGGCGCAGGGTCCCTCCAGGTCACAGCGGCAGGGCAGGGTGGGTGGGCAGAGGCTGCACCCGGGACAGTGCCTCCAGCTCCCGGCCGCGGGGTTCTCCTGCCAAGCTCCCCGTTGAGCGGGGCTGGGCCCCCAGAGCCTGCGCCCGCTGCCCCGGACCTGGACCCCGCCGGCTGCCCCAAGGACGACCCAGTCCGGCAGGGACTGTCCGCCGCTGGCTCTTGCCCTCGGTCCGCCCCCTTCCCAGCCTCTGCTTCCACGCCGTGCCAGCTGCGCCCGCGCGTGGACACCCGCGCCTCCCGTGTCGTCAGCACCTGAGCTGCGGGCGGGCGACCCGGGCGGGACCGCGGAGGGCTGGGCTACTCACGTGCCAGATGGCGAAGAAAATAAGAGCGGCGCACAGCACGAGGGCCAGCATGTAACAGAAGGCTGCGAAGGTGAAGGCCATGGTGCGGGACCCGGGCGCCGACCGGGCCAGCGGCTTCCTGCGCGGCGCGCACGCAGGTGCCCAGCCGGCAGCCGAGGCGGGCGGGTCTCCGCCCAGCGTTGCTGCTCCACCTGCTGCGCGGCCGCCTCGGGCCCCGCCCCGCTCGTCCCGCCCTGCTGGGTCCCGCCCGGTCCCGCCCTGCGGGCGGGGACTGCGGCGCGCCGAGGGCACAGCGCGTCCCAGGTCACTGCTCTTGGGACGTTCTGCACAGCGCACCTGAACCCAGCCCCTGCGTTCCGCACAGGCATGCACCCCGCACCTGCACCCCGCACCCGGGTCATCCTCCCTACGACCTGGTCCCTGGCCAGGGTACAGCCCCCTTCCGCTCCCAGGCGCCGGCCCTAGAGGCCCAGTTGGCTTCCTGAGGGTCCAAGAAGCCGCTCAGGTTGGCCCAGGATGAACTCGGGTTCTGGGTGACTGGCCGGGACAGCTTTGGATCCCTGGGCCCACTGGATCCGGCCTGAACCTCTGGCTGGTACCTGCAGAACCAGAAGAGGCCCACACCTCCAACCTGGAAAGCTGGCCCTTTGGGGAGACAGGACCAGAGCCCAGAGTGGGTGAAATGCACCTTCATGTTTGGGCTGCTTGTTTAGAACCTAAAGGTTTGAGTCAGCAGCACCAGAGCCCTGGGCCACCAGAGGCCTGGCTGTCCCAGCATCTGGTCACTAGCACTCTTACACACCCACTGATCCACAGTCCCACATGGCCCAGCCCACTACATGCGGACGAAGAGATCATCCAGCAGGAATGTGCCTGGTGCTCTGACAGAAGCATGAAATAATAAGCCATGTCCCTTCTGGCCACATGAAGACACTTCTGTCCCAACCCAGGCTTTCTGACCCAAGTCGCAGGCCACAGCCCCACAGCCCACAATAGATGCCCCACTACAGTTCCCTGCAGGCCTGGGTGTGTCTGCTCTTCTAGCTCTTCAGGCGCCGTGGGGCTGTGCTCACCTCCTGGGCCTCTGAGAAGTGTTTCTTAGAGACTAAGTGATCATTACAGAAAAGTTAGAAACCTCAGAAATAAAAATGGTGAACTCCATAGTTTGTCACTCAGACTCCGCCAGCAAGCAGCAGTGTTTCCTGCTAGCTCTGAGGTTTTCTATAGAGCATTTCCTTTCCTCGATGTAATTGCTCCCACTAAAACAAGTAGTTACCACCAAAGGAAAATTCCAGAATTCAGGTAATTTGTGCCCCTTTGGGCTGATCAGGCCTTTGGTCCTGTGGCCTCCGATTCCATCCCTCCCAGAGTCCTAGGTCCTGGCCTGACTAGTCATTTCCTACTGTGTGCCAAGCATTGGGCTGGGACTATACCATCTTTCTCCCTTGTCCCAGGTCTGCAGTGAACCTGATGTTATGGAAATCACCTAAATCCACACTGAGAGCCATCATCTCTGAGCTGGCGAGACAGCTGAAGTTGGCTTTTCAGTTGCTGTGATTCTCCTTTATCTGTGTGGTGTGGTCCTTCTGGATCCAGGCCAGGGCTTTGCTTGTCAAGCACTGAGCCTTGGGTTTCTGGATTTTTCTCCCAGCCCTACAAAGCAATTAGTGCTTGGCCCGGCCCTCGGCCCTCTGCTGCCCACTAGCAAACCCCAACCTCAACTCCTCAGCACTGGCAAACCCGTGCCACCTCCAGTCTCCCTGGCTGAGAGGCCAGAAAACTTCCCACGCCCCAGGTCCCTCCAGCCCCCAACTGCTCCCCCACCTCCCCACACCACTGTCTCAGCACCTCAAGCCTCCCTCCAGCTCCACACAGGAAGGGACTCTGCCTCACTGGGCTGCAACCCCTAAGATTGCCTCTTCTGGTGCTGGGTGTGAATTTTGGGGGTGTCCTAAGGATAAGGTTTTCAAGTGACTGGTGGCAACCCCTGTGAAGTGGCTCTGAGCAGGATTCAGAATTAATCCTTTGACTTTCTGAGTCTGCCCCAGGCCTAGGCAACCAGCTCAAGAGCAGCAGCTGGTGTGCAGTGAGTGACACTCTCCATGCCAGCCATCAAGTAGAGGCCTGGATTGGTTGGTGACACTGTGACACTTGAAAGGCAACATAAAGCCACAGCTGAGGACACCTGGCTCTCACTCCAGTTCTTAAGGTAAGGCTGCAGCGGTAACCATTTGGCTGTTCTGTGACTGTCAACCTTAGAGATAGGACAGTTGTCCCAACTGGCAAAACTCACTGCTTGGAGAAGTCCTTGATCGAAGCTTCCCAAAGCCCTGCTCAGTTTCCCCTTTACCTCTGCTGTCCTTCCTTTCACCTAAAACTCATTAAGTCTAAAGACATTTTTTTTTTTTAATTTTAGGGCAGGGTCTACAGGGTGTTCAGGGTCTCACTACTAGATAGGACTCCTGGTGATCCTACTGCTTACAGCCTCCCTAGAGCTGGGATTACAGGCATGCGCCGCCACGCCCAGTCTCAATCACTGTCTCAGCACACCCCAGGGGCGGGGCCAGCATGGCAGGCCCAGGGATTGAACCCCCAGCTCCTGCACCCGCTTGCAGGTGCTTTAATCCACTGAGCTATTTGGCCGGCTCTTAGAGACATGGTTGTCTTAGCTCCTAGAGAGTTCTGACCTTCCTGGATTCCCCTAAATCATATTGCCTGCCTCTTTTATTTTATTTTTTGCCATAAGTTGTTTAGGGGCTAAGGCCAACTTCACAATAAGTGACTTCATAAGTCCTTAATGGACACACAGCTGTGGAGAGGACTTGGCAGTATCCTCCTTCCCAATCTACAGCTACAGCCTTTGCCACGTAGGCTTCCCAGTCGTTCTGGAATCCTATTTTACCCAATTTTTAAAAATGCAAATCTAAAGACTCTTTCTCCTGCTCAACCAGGGCATTTTTCATGCATATGATTTATTCCATTCAAAGAGCCTCTTGCCTGCAATTCTGGCTGTTCTCAGAGGAAAGACCCTGTTCGTGGGGCAAGGCAGGGGCACGACCATCTGTGGGCAAGTTTCCTCGGCTTTTCTGGCAACTTTCAGGGCTGGAGAAGCTGCAGCTGAGACCCCGTGCACCCTGTTCATGACCCCATCTCCCAGCCCTGGCACCGCATGCAGGGCTCTGCTCCTGGGCCTAGGCCGCAGCCTTTGTCCAGTCTGCCAGAGCCACTTCAATGCCCTCCACAACTCTGCCTTCTCTGGGGACCCAGCCAGGAGTCCCTTCAGAAAGCTAGGCCCTCCCCAGGCCTTTCCCATAGACACCTACTTCCCCTTGCAGCCCCTGCAGCCAGTGTCATCAGTACAATCACAGTGGCTCTTACACTGCTGAAGGATTTCTGTTCTGATTGGTGAATACACTAACAAGTAAAACACTTAACGATTAACTTGAAACTAAACTCATTCATCCAGGCCAGTTGCCACAGGATGTCATGAAGATGTGGAGTAAGGGCCTCCCCAGGGCACAGCAGGTTCTGTCACCAATCGTGGCTGCCATGGATTCAAATAGTTGTCCCTTTGCATACGTTGTTTGTGCACAGTGTTTCTGGGTATATGGTGAATGGAATGCCTCAATATTTATAATTTAAGGGCTGGGGAGATAGCTTGGTAGCCTAAGTGTCTGCCTGGCAAGCACAAGGACTGAGTGTCTGCCTGGCAAGCACAAGGACTGAGTTCGATCCCCAGTACCACATGCCATGCCAGCCCTGGAACCCCACACACCATGCCAGCCACCAAAACTAGGCATGGTAGTACACATCTATAATCCCAGGGCTGGGGAGGCTGAGACAGGAGGATTACTTCAAGTCTGAGCTGTGTAGCAAGACCCTCTACCAAATAAATAAATAAATGATTTTTTAAAATTTAATATATACAATTTAAGAATTTATCAATGAAATATTTCAAAAAAATTTAGAATAAAGAGACACCAACAGTGGATATCTCAGTTAATGCTGCTTTACACATCAGGCCTTCATATCTGAGTCCTCCAGAGAAGCAACAAAGCTGGCTGCAAGCGGCACCCAGAGGATCTTCCAACACCTCAACTCTCACACCCAAGTCACACCCTCACACATGCTTATCTCACCAATGCTACTGAAGCAAACACTAGATGCAAATAGTGCTCAGTTTAAGGTTGAGACCTGCAGGACTTGTAACCCCTCGGGGATCGCAGAGGCAGGAAAGCAGCTCAGAAGACAGCTCAGAGCTCAGGCTCCAGGTGGAGCCCAGGAATCCCCACAGCAAGCCTGCCTACAGCCTCCACCTGTCATCCACATGCGCACCTCGGCTCCACCCTGGACACCCAGAGCCTGTCCTCTGCTCGTCCCCGCTCCAAAGCAAGCTCTTCCTTGCGATGCCAGGTACACATGAGCGGGGGTGCAAGGCCACTTGGAGAGCCACCCCCTGGGTGTCTCCGTGACGTAAGCTTCCGGGTGCTGTTTCTCATCAATCTGTCTTCCAAAGCAGGGATCTCGCCTACTAAAACCGTGTGGCCGCTTTCTTCCTCTCTACCAGCAGCCTCATGAGCAGCCCCCTTCCATGTGGAAATGCTCGCCTTGAACCCCACTTCCAGGCCCCATGGAGTGGGGTGGAGCGGAGCTCCCTTCCCGAGGAGCCCGTGAGCTCCACGACGGCGCTCGGCAAGTCCCTTCCGTGGCTTTCCAGGCTGGAGAAGCTGCATGTCCAGATCCCTGATCAAAAGTCTCTTCTAAGTAGAACTTAGGTGAACAAAAATTACTGTTCTTCCTCTACAATAATCATAGTCACCGGACAGCAGTCATATTCTGTCAAAGTTTATGGTTTCACTTCTTAAATTATAGTTATCAACCAAAGCATTGAGAAACACATTCAAAACCTCAGCTTTACACAGTATTGCATTTGAAGAACAAAATCTTCAAGCCTTAAAATGTGGATAGAATAATTTAAAGGATGAAGAAAGTACCCATAAAGCATTAGACGTCAGCATCTACTTGATATAATGAAGAACGTTCAAGCATGCAATATTCAGTACCGTCAAAAATTAATCATCTCTTTGTGAGCATACGCTGTGTTCTAAGTTATCACCCTACATGTTGGGAACAAACCACCAAAATGAGAATGTAGC